TATATAGGCCAAAAGAGTGAAATATTCAAGACTCATTATATGGGAGGTTTATCAAATCTTGGTCCGATACATACAATTTTTTGTCAGTTGCTTTATGTAGATGCAAATTGCTAAATTTAAATTTTTTTAAATCATATCTCATAGTTGTGTAGGGTCGTCGACCAGTAACGAAATTTTTACAATGATGTTTATTACGCTTCGAAAATCGGGAATACGAATTGGAAATCCCGGCTACAACCTTCTAAATCCTGAAAATTAGGAGAGGCATTTTTATGGAACAAAGCCAGTCGATTGACTTATACGACAATTTTTTTATAAGAACTAAAATGACGCAAACAGTCGTTCCATCGTCGTTTTCAAAGAAGGTCCAATCACAATATCGGACCACGAATTGACATTTTCTGAATGTAATTGCATTCTTAAATTACTTTAGACTTCTCAGAACCCTAAATACAACAAAGTTGTTTATTAACATACCTGAAGTTGGTCTATTATATAAAATAGCAAACCAAAAAATCTAAAAATTCTAGGCAATGTGGGCCTAGCCAAATGTATAAAGTTTTGTTTTTCAACTAAATACTGTTTTTTATGATTGCTCAATCGAGCATTTGTTTATGTGAAATGTGAACCTAAAAAACCAAAAAGAAGCCAGAAGAAGTAATCCCAGTAAATCAACACCCACCATTTCGGTTATGGCATTGATAGTTTTACGAGTAAACAATACCACCCATTTCCACTTAACAAACAACTAACTTTGCGAACAATAACAATAAATTACGAAAAAATTGCATAGCACGACAGATAGCTTAAATCCGATCCACTGCTAGGGATAATGTTTACACAAACAACACCACCACCACGACCACTGCTAGCCAATGCAGGTGATGTGAATGTTGGCTAAGTGTCCTCAAAAGATCTAAACGGAGACATAAACAAAACGCAAAAAACATCACCAACAACAACAAAAGAGGTGGGGAGAAAAATCAACTACTGAAAAACAATACCACAGCACTTTACACTGACTGGATGACACTCTGACGGTGCTGGTGGTGGTGGTGATGGTGCATTGCAGGTGTATTTGACGTGATATTCATTTAACGACCAACTTTTTTTGTAGTTCACACTAAACCGGAGCTAGTCTTTTCTAGCTGTGGTGCATTCACTGCTGTACGTTCGAAAACGGATATGATGCCATATAACAAGATGTAATTGTAGATGTGTGTTAACACCACATATACACACACCTATGCATATGCTGCCACAACTCTCGTAGCAAATAAAAACAATGCTGCTCAACTAGTTTTTTGTTAGTCGTTGTTGCTCGTTATCACCCCCTCCCCACTTTTTTGTTATCCCTTTTATGTGTGGTGTGAAGGATATAAGAACCTATTTAGAAGTGTATATGTGTGTGTGAATTTTTTGTTTGCAATAACAACGAAAACAAAAACACCTACACATTAAGACGTGCTTCCATTATTCGTACAATGTTAATTGTCAACATACGAGTGTAATAAATAAACACAAATGAGGGTGATAACATCTTAACCATGTCATTGTACTCGAAATGGCATGTTAAGAGGGAGGGGGCGAAGTGAATATTTTCCTAAGATTTTATTTGTACGCTGTGTCACCTGACATTACCGTGAGATGGGGTTGGGGGATATTATACAATTTGTTTGGATTTCTTTTGTCCTGGTCGCTAATTGCAATATATTTCTAAGAATTATAAAAAGGGTGTAGAAATTTTAAATCATTATCCAAAAGGGGTGATTTTTGTTATTACTTCGAGTTCTGAAATCTTATGGAAAGTGGAGAATATTTTCATGGACTTTTACTAGCGTGGCTTTTTTTAATATTTGTTATTTGGACTACTACAAACATGGATTTTTATACCCTACACAATGTTGTCATGGTATTATAGCTTTGTGCAGCCCCAATAGTTTGTAACGCCGCAGAATATTTGTCCTAGACCCAACTTTAAGTTACCGATCGTCATATCTCGACTAGCTGAGTCGATCTAGACATGTGTATCCGTCCGTCCGTCTGTCCATTATAATTTGTAAAAACGATCCACAGTTATGGACCAATCTTCACGAAATTTTGCATGCAGGATGGGTTCTGCCCAATGAAGACCCCTATTGTTTTCGGGCCGAAGATCGGTCAATATTTAGCGGGTCAAATGGATTTTGTGTGAAAAATTACAAAATTTATATATATATATATATATATATATATATATTTACCCCTGAAGGACTTAGACCCGAGAAGTTGGTAGTATATCCAAGAGGAGTGGTTGACTTTTAAATTGATACCTATTATATTATCGTATGTACTCAGATGAGGGAGTTACATTTAAATATTTACAGGTGCTTACGAATTAAGATATTTTTCAGTAACCCTTTACCACTCTAGAGGGCGGAAATAATGCCCTGATCGCTTTGAAATGTTCCATGAGGTTACAGTTATGGTTAAGGACTACCCCTATAATTTTTGGTAATGATCCGATAATCATTTTGGGACCGAAAACTTAATTTTTGTATTTTTCGAGTCGATATGCCCACAATTTAAAGCCGAACATCACACCACAACCCACGGTGAAGGGAATCTGGACAAGTACGAGAAGAGCTGGTCTGGATATTGGGAATATTCGGAATATATATCGATGTATGGGAGAGGTGTTGTTGACCTTTAATCGGGCAAGAGGGTACAAATATTACGAAATATTGCCCAGGCTCGGAATAAACACCTGCAGAAAGTTAAAGACTATTTTTTCAAGGCGTGGATTTTTAAAGATTATTTTTTCAAGGACCATAACTAGGCGTGGATTTTTAAAGATTATTTTTTCAAGGACCATAGCTATGCGTGGATTTTTAAGTAATATTTTTTAAGGACCATAGCTATGCGTGGATTTTTAAGTAATATTTTTTAAGGACCTTTACAAGGCGTGGATTTTTAAATGCTATTTTTTCAAGGACCTTTACAAGGCGTGAAATTTCCTATTTTTTCGAGGACCTTTACAAGGCGTGAAATTCCCTATTTTTTCGAGGACCTTTACAAGGCGTGAAATTCCCTATTTTTTCAAGGACCTTTACAAGGCGTTCATTTTTATACCCTTCACCACACTGTGGTAAGGGAATTATGTCTTTGTGCATATCTTGTAACAGGCAAAAGGAAACATGATAGACACATGGTTCCTTTTGAGAATATGCATAGAATCACTTTCTGAGTCGATTTACGCTTGTCCGTCCGTCCATGTATTTTTGTGAACAAAGTACAGGTCGCATTTATGATTTGATTTGGATGAAATTTGGCACAGGTCGCTTATTTGGCCCAAGGACGAACCCTATTGAAATTGGGAAAAATCGGTTCAGATTGAGATATAGCTCCCATATATATGTTCGTCCGATTTAATGTAAATGGTGCACCAAAGTCCCTATTTATATTTCGATTTCCACGAAATTTGGCACAGCGTAATGAATTAAGTATAGAATGATGTGGGTTAAGTTTCGTTAAAATCGGTTCAGATTTAGATATAGCTCCCATATATATTTTCATCCGATTTAATGTAAATGGTGCTGCAAAGTCCCATATATCTTTCAATTTGCACGAAATTTGGCTCAGCGTAATTAATTAGGCCTAGAATGATGTGTGTTAAGTTTCCTGAACATAGGTCCAGATTTAGCTCATCGGTTCAGATATAGCTCCTATATTTTCGTCTTAAAATCTTTCGATTAGCACGAAATTTGGCACAGCGTAATGAGTTAGGTCTAGAATGATGTGTGTTAAATATCGTCCGATTTAAGGTAAATGTTGTACCAAAGTCCCTTAATATCTTTCGATTTGCACGAAAATTAGTACAGCATAATGAATTGCAGGATGACATGTTTATGGATCCAATTTCATTTTATTGGTCCTTTAAAAATGCGACGTCTGTTAGGATTTTTCTGTTATATATACCCAAAGTGGTGAAGGGTATCATATAGTCGGCTCCGTCCGACTTTACTTCTTTCCTTACTGGTTAAATACTACTTTTGAAGGACAGTTTTTCGAGGATCACTAGAAGGCCTGGAATTTTTAAATAATATGTTTTTAAAAACCTTTTTTCGAGGATAATTACAATGCGTGGGAGTTTAAATAATATTTCCTTATTCCAAAAATTCGCTCTCTATAGCACCCTATTCACTAACGACCCCTTTTTCATTTTTTAATATAATTGTCATACTTCTAATTAATATGTAAAATGTACCCTGTAACAAAAACTATGTCGTATAATGCCTATCATTATCTAAATGTCTTTTCAAATTAACGGCAGTCGTCCATCAGATGACGTTTTTTCTAAATAACCCCACAGTCCTTGTTTGCGTTTATCAAAACATTCACATCGCCACTCAATAAATAATTGTTTCAATTAAAGCCTACAAGTATGCAGCACGAAGTGACTGACGTTAACTTATTTAAATTGAATGAAACACGAAAATGTTTGGGATCTAAATGAAAAAATTAAAACAAAAGCTAAATACAAACAAAACGGCAGTCATAAATAATTAACGATGGCGCATAGGTATAGTGGCACGGCACAGCCACTTCTTCACACAGCCACTAAACTATGAGGCCAAGTGTGAGTAAATGGTTGTACTTAAATATTTACTAGAGTGGGTGCTGAGCTGTACTGTGCTAGTTCCGCCGGTAGGTTACACCCACAAACAAAAATGGAAAACACGGCCCATACAATTATGACCAAAAGCTTAGCCGTATACATCCCAGTAGACGAGTTGATAGAAATCTAAATATTTAATTATGCACTTCACTGCCGCACTCAAACCACTCTTTCTCTCAGATGCAAATGACGTGAAAAAATGAACCTTGGTGGTGGGTGCGTGCAAAGAGCAGTTACTTGTAACCCCTCTAGAGTTTATTTGCTGCAATTTACATTTATATACGACGAAACGGCATCCGAAGCAGGAGCACATCAACGAACCAAATCTAAATGGTCATGTTGCATGTCTGACAACGATTACTACATTGTTGTCGTTTATCCACGTTTATCCTCTTGGCTGGCTGGTGGAGAATGTGTAAACAATGTCAGTCAGGTTTGCCAAGTGAGTGAAATGTTTACAATGTTTAAAGTGTACTAACCTAGAGAGAGAGAGGGAGGGAGAGTAATGGGGGTCTTCAAGAACCACTGCAACAAAAACAAACTGTGAAATACTTAAATTCACTTTAGTTTTTGTTTTGCCAACACTTATGTCTAATAAAGAGAAAAACAACAATAAAACGCATTCTATGCTGTGGAATATATTAGGGTGGGACGAATTTAAAAAGGCGTAAAGATAATATTTCAACTGACCATTACAAGGCGTGGATTTTTTAAAGAATGTTTTTTCAAGCGACCGTTACAAGGCGTGGTTTTTTTAAAGAATATTTTTTCATGGGTCACAGTAAGAATATTTTTTCATGGCCATAGCAAGACGTGGATTTTTTAAAAAATATTTTTCATGAACCATAGCAAGGCGGGGATTTTCTAAAGAATATTTTTCCATGGACCATTACAAAGCGTGGATTTTTTAAAGAATATTTTTCCATGGACCATTACAAAGCGTGGATTTTTATACCCTTCACCACACTGTGGTACAGGGTACTATGTCTTTCTGCATATGTTTGTAACAGGCAAAAGAAACCAAGATAGACAAATGGTTTCTTTTGAGAATATGCATAGAATCACTTTCTGTGTCGATTTACACATGTCCGTCTGTCCATGTTAAATTGTTAACATAGTACAGGTCGCATTTATGATCCGAATTGGATGAAATTTGACATGGGTCACTTATTTGGCCCACGGACGAACCCTATCGAAATTGGAAAAAATCGGTGCAGATTTAGATATAGCTCCCATATATATTTTCGTCCGACTTAATGTAAATGGTGTACCAAAGTCCCTATATATCTTCCGATAGGCACCAAATTTGGCATAGCGTACTGAATTGAGTTTAGAATAATGCGTGTAAAATTTCTTGAAAATCGGTTCAGATTTAGATATAGCTCCCATATATATTTTCGTCCGATTTAATGTAAATGGTGTACCAAAGTCCCTATATATCTTCCGATTGGCACCAAATTTGGCATAGCGTACTGAATTGGGTTTAGAATGATGTGTTTAAAATTTCTTGAAAATCGGTTCAGATTTAGATATAGCTCCCATATATAGTTTCGCCCGATTTTAGGTAAATAGTTCACCAAAGTCTCTATATTTCTTTCGATTTGCTCGAAATTTGCCATAGCGTAATGAATTAGGTCTAGACTGATGTGTGTCAAGTTTCCTGAAAATCGGTCCAGATTTAGATATAGCTCCCATATATATTTTAGTCCGATTTAATGTAAATGGTGTACCAAAGTCCCTATAAAACTTTCGATTTGCACGAAATTTGGCATAGCGTAATGAATTAGGTCTAGAATGATGTGTGTAAAATTTCTTGAAAATCGGTTCAGATTAAGATATAGCTGTCTTATATATTCGTCCGATTTAATGTAAATGGTGTACCAAAGTCTCTATGTATCTTTCGATTTGCACGAAATTTGGCATAGCGTAATGAATTAGGTCTAGACTGATGTGTGTCAAGTTTCCTGAAAATCGGTTCAGATTTAGATATAGCTCCCATATATATTTTCGCCCGATTTTAGGTAAATAGTTTACCAAAGCCTCTATATATCTTTCGATTTGCTCGAAATTTGCCATAGCGTAATGAATTAGGTCCAGACTGATGTGTGTCAAGTTTCCTGAAAATCGGTTCAGATTTAGATATAGCTCTTATATATATTTTCGTCCGATTTAATGTAAATGGTGTACCAAAGTCCCTATATATCTTTCGATTTGCACGAAATTTGGCATAGCGTAATGAATTAGGTCTAGAATGATGTGTCTTAAGTGTCGTGAAAATCAGTACAGATTTTGATATAGCTCCTATATATTTTTATACCCTTCACCACTCTGTGGTACAGGGTATTATGTCTTTGTGCATATGTTTGTAACAGGCAAAAGGAAACGAGATAGACACATGGTTTCTTTTGAGAATATGCATAGAATCACTTTCTGAGTCGATTTATGTATGTTCGTCTGTCCGTCTGTCCGTCCGTCCGTCCGTCTGTCCGTCTGTAGATGTTAAATTGTAAACAAAGTACAGGTCGCATTTATGATCCGATTTGAATGAAATTTGGCACAGGTCATTTATTTGGCCCAAGGACGAACCCTATTGAAATTGGGAAAAATCGGTTCAGATTTAGATATAACTCCCATATATATATTTAACCGATTTAATGTAAACGGTCCCTATATATTTTTCGATTTGCACGAAATTTGGTACAGCCTAATCATTTAGGTCTAGAATGATGTGTGCCAAGTTTCGTGAAAATCGGTCCAGATTTGGATATAGCTCCCATATATAGTTTCGTCCGATTTCATGTAAATGGTACACCAAAGTCGCTATATATCTTTCGATTTGCACGAAATTTGGCATAACGTACTGAATTGAGCCTAGAATGATGTCTGCCAAGTTTCGAGAAAATCGGTCCAGATTTAGATATAGCTCCCATATATAGTTTCGTCCGATTTCATGTAAATGGTACACCAAAGTCCCTATATATCTTTCGATTTGCACGAAATTTGGCATAACGTATTGAATTGAGCCTAGAGTGATGTCTGCCAAGTTTCGAGCAAATCGGTCCAGATTTCTATATAGCTCCCATATATAGTATCGTCCGATTTCATGTAAATGATGCACCAAAGTCGCAATATATCTTTCGATTTGCACGAAATTTGGCATAACGTACTCAATTGAGCCTAGAGTGATGTGTGCCTTTTTTCGTGAAGATTTAGATATAGCTCCCATATATAGTTTCGTCCGATTTCATGTAAATGATGCACCAAAGTCGCTATATATCTTTCGATTTGCACGAAATTTGGCATAACGTACTGAATTGAGCCTAGAATGATGTCTGCCAAGTTTCGAGAAAATCGGTCCAGATTTAGATATAGCTCCCATATATAGTTTCGTCCGATTTCATGTAAATGGTACACCAAAGTCCCTATATATCTTTCGATTTGCACGAAATTTGGCATAACGTATTGAATTGAGCCTAGAGTGATGTCTGCCAAGTTTCGAGAAAATCGGTCCAGATTTCTATATAGCTCCCATATATAGTTTCGTCCGATTTCATGTAAATGATGCACCAAAGTCGCAATATATCTTTCGATTTGCACGAAATTTGGCATAACGTACTCAATTGAGCCTAGAGTGATGTCTGCGTTTTTTCGTGAAAATCGGTCCAGATTTAAATATAGCTCCCATATATAGTTTCGTCCGATTTCATGTAAATCATGCACCAAAGTCGCTATATATCTTTCGATTTGCACGAAATTTGGCATAACGTACTGAATTGAGCCTAGAATGATGTCTGCCAAGTTTCGAGAAAATCGGTCCAGATTTAGATATAGCTCCCATATATAGTTTCGTCCGATTTCATGTAAATGGTACACCAAAGTCCCTATATACCTTTCTATTTGCACGAAATTTGGCATAACGTATTGAATTGAGCCTAGAGTGATGTCTGCTAAGTTTCGAGCAAATCGGTCCAGATTTCTATATAGCTCCCATATATAGTTTCGTCCGATTTCATGTAAATGATGCACCAAAGTCGCAATATATCTTTCGATTTGCACGAAATTTGGCATAACGTACTCAATTGAGCCTAGAGTGATGTCTGCCTTTTTTCGTGAAAATGGGTCCAGATTTAAATATAGCTCCCATATATAGTTTCGTCCGATTTCATGTAAATGGTGCACCAAAGTCGCTAAATATCTTTCTATTTGCAAGAAATTTGGCATAACGTACTGAATTGAGTCTAGAATGAATGTCTGCCAAGTTTCGAGAAAACCGGTCCAGATTTCTATATAGCTCCCATATATAGTTTCGTCCGATTTCATGTATATGGTTCACCCAAGTCTCTATATATCTTTCGATTTGCACGAATAGTCCTGTAATAGTCCTGTTTACTATACCCATAGTGGTGAAGGGTATCATATAGTCGGCCCCGTCCGACTTTACTACTTTCCTTACTGGTTTCTTCTGATTTTATGTAAATTATGCACTAAAGGCCCAAAGTTTGTCCGATTGTCACATAATTTTGTACAATGAGCTGTAGTTAATATAAGTTAATCTCTGGCAATTCTCATTGAAATCAGTTCACATTATATATATATATATATATATACTATAGCAACTCTATATCTGACCAAATGAAAACTTTAGTATAGGTTGCAGAATGTCAGGTTTATGGATCCACTTTCGTGTTTATGGTCCTTCAACGTCTGTTAGGATTCATCTGTTGAATATACCCAAAGTGGTGAAGTGTATCATATAGTCGGCCCCATCCGTCTTTACTACTTTCCTTACTGGTTTAAAGAATATTTTTTTTAGAAATTTATGTTATCTTTTAAAATAGAACCCAAACCCCTGCATGACTAATATCATTCGCAATAATTACCTTTAAGTTCATTACACTTTTTTTAATATCAACCCTTTTATGTTTTCAAATTCAACACACCTAATTTTCTGAGTGTAACAGCATAAAAAACACTTAAGCTCTTAACGTTTTCTGCTATTATTTAAATTTATGCAATTCTCAGTGGGCTCTTTTGCAACCACAATGGATGTCATAAATTCTGCTTAAAAAGGTTTTTAACTAAATTAACTTTTGACAGACACAATGCTTACCTGTTAGCATAGTTGAAGTAACCACGTAAGTGTAACTTATGACACACGCAGGGTATATACTCATATCGGTTGGTGGGCCAGTTGGTTTTCATGCTGCCAGAAGTCAAGCTCTTTCTTCTTTTCTGCCATTTTCTAGTTTCCATCCAAACACATTTCCATTATCATCACCGTTGCCGTTTTGTTCATCATTTCTAATTCACGACTGGATTTTTTCTCCTGTCTTGTCTTTTCTTCTTCTTTTTGTTTCTAATAGAAAAATCGTTCATTTTCATCAGCATCGGCTAGCGGCGGCAAACCATCTCTGGACAATCGACAACATTTAATGGAATTGGACGAAGGTGAACTCTTTATGGAATTGATACGTGATGTTGCCAATGAATTGGATATTGATGTGCTGTGCCATAAAATACTGGTGAATGTGGGTCTGCTCACACACGCAGATCGTGGCTCATTGTTTTTGGCCAAGGGGACACCCAACAATCGATATCTGGTGGCGAAACTATTCGATGTTACACAAACGACACGTAAGTTAATAGCTATGTATGCAGTTTTGTATGTATGAGTGTATGGATGTATGTATTCACTGGTAGCCCACATTTACTGCAACCTAAAAAGGGTATAAGGCAACAGTCAAGAGAGAAAAGAAAAATCAAATTAAAAACGAAATTGAAATATTCGAAAACAATAATAGACTCAATTTGAATTATCACAGGGTGGGAATCTTAATTCGTATAGGCACAGACTATTGTGATTAACAATTTGGTTTCGAATTTCAATTACTGCTATGATAATAGTTATTAATGAATGGAAGTGATTGGATTGGTTATTTCTCTATCAGATGTTTTCATTTGGTAAAGTATGATTTCAGTATAATGGTAGTGGTAGCATTGATGACATTGACTTATTTGATGTATTTATTAGCTTTATGTAAAGTTGATAGAGGAGATTATAATCAATATATAATAGCATCAAAAAATGGCAAGAGTGTTTCTCAAACTTTAAATACGTTATCCTTTAAGAAGACATTCCCCATTCTCGGCTCCAAATAACTGAATTTTGTTATATGATTTCATTCAAAAAAAAAATAAAAATCGAAGGTCCGCCATTTTGTTAATTTTTGTGACAAAACAATAATCCTAGTTCGTACGAGAGCAAGACATGTACGCTTTCTAATGCCATTGGAATTTTCGGACTCCGATGTTCCAATCAGGAGTTAGCATGCCCCCATCAAATATAATGACTTTTATTTAATCACAAAAAACACAACAGTTAAGGGGAGTGTGACAGAATTTTTGTACCATAAGCCGAGCTTAAAACATTTTTCCAGGCGCGTCGGACCTGTGTGAACCATGAGTTGGCTCTCCTTTTATATGCCTTTAGTGTTGGGACATCCTCATCCATTCTTACAACATGACCAAGCCAACCTTCGACGCAGATAGATCTTTTAGAGAATTTTTCTCTCGCCTTTTTCGCTTTCTAGAGTGTGAATTTGGTCTGGCGAGAGGTGGCCTTGTTCTTAAATTGCTTACTCAGACCATAGTAGCATCTGTCGGCCAACACTATTCTCCTCTGGATTTCAGAGCTGATGTTATTAGTTTTGTTTATGGTACCGAGGTATATAGAATCGATCACCACCTCGAAGCTGTAGTTTTCAAGTTCCACCGTTGGTCTACTGGACGTCTTGCCCGTTGATACCATCCGCTTGGTATTCTCGTCATTTGCTGCCAGTATCACTTTGGTAGACTTCTTCTCAATTCGTTCAAAGGTGGCTTATATCGATGTCATCGGCGTACTCATGCTGTTTGTTGTACAGAGTGTCATTTTGCATCTCAAATGACCATTTCCTGCAGAATGTTAAAAACATCTCACAACGTCACCTTGTCAAAATCCTCGTTCGTTGTTGAAGGGCTCCGAAAGGTCCTTTTCGACTTTAAAGTTATCCTGCATAGCCGTATTAATTTTACAGGAATGCTTAACGAAGACATGGCTTTTAAAACCTCAGAACGGATAGGGCTGTCGAATACGGCTTTATAGTCGACGAATAGATGGAATGTGTCGGCGCAGAGTGAAAATCTGGTCAATGGTGGATTTGCCAGGCCTGAAGCCGCTTTGGTATGATCCAATGATGTCATTGACCATTCGCTTCACACAACACGCTGGATAACACTTTATATGCGACGGGAATGATACTAATTCATATATGTCGTGTCTCCCTTTTTGTGCACGGGACAGGATTGTCCCCAAATTGTACTAATCAGCTGGTGCATGCTCCTGACCAGCATCTGATCACCGGTGTTGAATAGTTCGGTTGGTAATCTATCGGCACTTGCTGCTTTATTGTTCTTCAGCCGATTAATTGATATTCTCACCTCATCTTGGCTAGGTGGTATACATTCTATACGGTCATCTCTTATTGGTTCAGGGGTATCTTCTTCCCGTAACTATTAGATACCAAAAACGTTTCAAAATGCTCCTTCCATATCCTCAACACGCTGTCTTTATCTGTCATCAGGTTTCCTTTTCATATCTACTGGAGAATGTGCCTGCACCAAAGCCTTCGGTTTGGTGTTTTACTCGTTTTTAAAATGTTCGTACTTCATTCTGACACCTATATATCTCAATGCGCTCCCGCTCACGTTTTTCTTGTTCTTTCTTTTGAAAATACATTTCTCCTCGATAATACTCTGCGTTTTAACATCAATATCTTGATGGTGGTCTTTGGTATCCTATTGTTGTTTTTGTTGTAGTTTGCAATTATTTGCTATTGTACTTTTATATTATTATCGGGACAAGGAGTGCTTTCGTTAACCAGGTGGATTAGCTGAGCTTAGTAGGCTTCTGCTATCTGTTGTGTTTGCAGCTTTTCGTCGTCGAGTTTCCATGTTACATTAGATCGCACTTTTGCTCCTACATTAAGACGGGTGCGAACCTTGGCTGCTACAAGGTGGTGGTCCAAATCGATATTCACTCCTTGTATCGATGGAACGTCTAAAACACTGGATAAATGCCTTCCGTATATCACAACATGATCAATTTGATTTCACGTCGCTTGATCGGGAGAAATTCAGATGGCCTTGTGTATATCGAGCTGCTTAAACCTGTGCTGCTAATTACCTCGTTTTTTGCTGCCGCGAAGTCCATCAACCTCATGCCGTTGTCTGATGTTTCTTCATGAAGGCTGAATTTTCCGACGGTGGGACAAAAATATTTTCCCCTCCGATTTTTACATTAGAATCTTTTTGCAGAATTTTAATATCATGATCAGGGCTGTATCTAGGTGCTCGTAAAAAATGTCGTTGGTCCGTTCGTCTTTGCCTTCCCTCGGACCATGGGCGCAAATAAGACTGATATAGAAGAACTTCGCTTTTATACGGATTATAGCAGTTCGCTCATTTACTGGAGTGAATCTCCTCCTGACCATAAATACGCAGCCAAATTCATGTCTTGTTTCATGGCAGCTATAATACAGGATGTAATCATCTGATTACTTACGCCTGTCCCTTTACATCCGCCAAAGCGAAAAATGAGTGCAGATTCCCAGATCGAGGTCCTCTATACGTTTGCGGGGGTCGTTAATAATAGAAAGGTTTGGTTATATTTTTCATAGAATTGTTTTTTTCGAGTGTGGACAAATAACCCGACCTCGCGGCACATATCCGCTCACACCGCGGGGAGGTCAGTGTCCACAATTGAGATGAAAGAGGGGCCAAGATAAGCCTGATCTTTGCAATGTTAACGCCAATCACAGCCGTTGCTTGGTATCTATCATCCCCTACGTCACCTAAAATTTAAAGCTCTATCTTAAATACAAATTATTCACCTATTTCTTTCCCCCCTTTTCAGCTCTCAAAGATGCTGTGAAGAAGGCACGCTCAGAAGAAATAGTCATACCCTTTGGTGTGGGCATCGCCGGTATGGTCGCCCAGACCAAAGAGATGATCAACATTAAGGAGGCCTATAAAGATGCTCGTTTCAATTGTGAAATAGATTTGAAGACTGGCTATAAAACAAATACGATACTCTCAATGCCCATTTGCAATTATGAGGGTGATATTATAGGGGTGGCACAAATTATAAATAAAACCGATGGATCTCTGGAATTCGATGAACATGATGTGGAAATATTTCGTCGATATTTGACGTTCTGTGGTATTGGTATACAAAATGCTCAATTGTTTGAAATGTCCGTCCAGGAATATCGTCGTAATCAAATCTTATTGAATTTGGCGCGAAGTATATTCGAGGAGCAGAATAATTTGGAATGTCTGGTGACGAAAATAATGACTGAGGCACGAGTGCTGCTGAAATGTGAACGGTGTTCGGTATTTCTAGTCGATTTGGATTGTTGTGAGGCGGTAAGGTTGCGACGAAATTTCTATCAATATTTGGAAGCATTTTTCAATTGAAATTTTTTACAGAGCCACTTAGAAAAAATCATAGAGAAACCTAATGAAGTGCAAAGGAGATTAAGTCGCAGTAGATATAGTAGTGATAGTTTGGATGATAAGGTAAGTGCTAAGGTTTTTTAATGCATTCCGATTTAATTTTTTTCAAATATATTTTAGCAGAAAACCAACAACCGTTTTACGGTTCTCTTCGAATTGGGCGCAGCTAATCAATCGGCAAATATTTCCCGCCCCACTGGCAATGATTTAAGCAATTCCACCCTGGCTCAAATTGCCCAATTTGTGGCGACCACCGGTCAAACGGTAAATATAGCCGATGTTAGGGAGTGGGTGCAGGAGCATAATCAAATTACGGCAGAAAATGAAATTGATTGCATCAAGGCCATATTGTGCATGCCCATTGTCAATGCTCAAAAACGGGTGATTGGTGTGGCCCAGCTAATCAACAAGACTAATGGCATGCCTTTTACCGATTGTGATGCTTCCATCTTTGAAGCATTTGCCATCTTCTGTGGTCTGGGCATACACAATACGCAAATGTATGAGAATGCCTGTAAGCTAATGGCCAAACAAAAGGTAGCCTTGGAATGTTTGTCATATCATGCAACAGCGCCACAGGATCAAACCGATCGTTTGGTTCAGGATACCATTGAAACTGCAGAGTCGTATAATTTGTATAGCTTTAAGTTTATTGGTAAGGAAATTCAGATACATAGAAATAATTGAGATACACTTCTAATGTGGATGTGTCTTCTTGTTCCCTTGTTTCCCATAGATTTTGATTTGTGTGATGATGACACTTGTCGTGCTGTGGTCCGTATGTTCCTGCAATGTAATCTAGTTCAAATGTTTCAAATACCCTACGATGTGCTGTGTCGTTGGGTGCTGAGTGTACGCAAAAATTACCGTCCCGTCAAATATCACAATTGGCGTCATGCTCTCAATGTGGCCCAGACAATGTTCGCAATGATGAAAACGGGTCGCATGGAACGTTTTATGAAGGACTTGGAAATTTTCGGCTTGTTAGTGGCATGTTTATGCCACGATTTAGATCATCGTGGAACGAATAATGCCTTCCAGACAAAGACGGAATCACCTTTGGCTATATTGTATACAACGAGTACAATGGAACATCACCATTTTGATCAGTGTGTAATGATTTTGAATTCGGAGGGTAATAATATTTTTCAGGTGAGTTTTTAATGTTTTGCAAAATGTAATATTTTTTTTTATTTTTACATCCATAACATTGGAATGTGCCGAATACTTTACATATATACATATCTTTCTATTATGTATACGCCCCCGGGAGGCTATTTCATAACATACATTTCATAACATAACATTCAGATTTAATAAAGCTATTATTTTGAAATTTAGAACTATAGTTCAAAACAAAACTGTAGTTCTAAATTTTAAAATAATAGCTTTGTTAAATCTGAATTTATTAAAAGAAACCTTATACTGTAAAATTTCAAATTTGAACTAGAAGGGTACGAAAAGTACTAAAATGTACCAAATATGGTACACTTTGTATTAGGCGAACGGGAAGAGCTAGAATTCTGAAATTTGGCATGTGGGTCATTGATGAAAAGTTAGAAAGATGTACAAAAGGGTTTTTGGAAATTCGACCTATATATGTACGAAACGTACTAAGTTTAGTTCTAATTGTATATATATATATTGAACATAAAGAGCTATACTTATATGTATAAAACGTACAAAATGGTACTAAATTTGGTACTATTTGCATTTAGTTGAGTGTATAGAGATGGAATCCTGAAAATATGAATTAGGACTGCTATTGGAGTACAGGAATGACGTAGCTTTAAAAAAAATGGTACTTATGTGTTCGAAAAGTACTAAATGGTACTAAATATGGTGCAAGTTGGATTTAGGTCAACAGATAGAGCTGGAGTCCTCAAATTGGGAATTTTTGGTACGAAAAGTACTATATGGTACTAACTTTAGTACAATTTGGATTTTGCTTGAATGGAGAGAGCTGAAAACCTGCAATTTTGAATTTCGTATTTATGTGTACGAAAAGTACTAAACGGTACTAGATTTGGTACAATTTGGAATTCGGATCTATTTTTAATCTGTGTAATGGAAAAAAACAAAGAGATTTCGGAAAATAGTGCTTATGTGTACGAAGAGTACTAAATGGTAATAAACTTGATATTAGATGTAGGAATAAAAGTAGACTTCAGATTTCACGATTTCCATAAGAAATATTAATATTTGTTATACCCTTCACCGCACTGTGGTACAGGGTATTATGTCTTTGTGCATATGTTTGTAACAGGCAAAAGGAATCGATATAGACCCATGGTTCCTTTTGAGAATAAGCATAGAATCACTTTCTGAGACGATTTACGCAAGTCCGTCTGTCCGTCCGTGTATTTTTGTGAACAAAGTACATGTCGCATTTATGATCCGATTTGGATGAAATTTTGTCCAAGGACGAACCCTATTGAAATTGGAGAAAATCGTTTCAGATTTAGATATAGCTCCCATATAAATTCGTCCGATTTTATGTAAATGGTGCACCAAAATCCTTATATTTCATTTGATTTATATAGTAATATTTGGACCTATTGGTCTATTCTGCTACCTCAAACATAAAATTTCAAATTTATGAAAAAGTCTTTATGAAGCTAATGGCGTATCCGTTTTTATCTCTTAATTGCACATTTTTACCGCAGATGATCTGTATAAGTGCATATTACATATGTCGGCAACACCGACTGACACTTTTTTACTAGTTTTTGTTTATTTAATAAAATGATGAATTCGGCGACGGACGCAGGTGAAAATTATTTCGATATTTTAAAGGCTTCTGCCAACCGAAGAGACTATAACATAACATATATAAATTTTGTAAGTACAATTTCGCACCGAAGAAGCAATAATTCGGCATTTCGGAATTCTGTTGAATAAATAACTACTTTCAGAAAATGTTTATTTCCAGTCCAGTTTTAAATCCTGGGTGTCCGTAAATTGGTATTTAATTTCTCAGTGTATAAATAAACGACAAGGTAACACTTTGCAATGTCATAGATCTCATATGTTTTTAAAATATATTTTATATATAACCCCATTTTAATGAATACGATCTAAAATTTGTCTCACGAAATAATAGACATAAAACCCAAATATGTTTGAAAAAAAAACAAGACAACTATATAGTTCCATCCCAATGGTTGCCTAAATCTATCAGGGTAAGGTCCAAAGTTCAGCACGTGTCACATTTGTAGAATAATGTGAAAGCTCCACGTACTCTCATTGAATAATACATTGTGAATACATTGTTTATTCAGTTGTATAAGTTATGCTAAATTTCTTTATGGCATTGAATATAATTTAAAATAATGTTTTGTCGGTTAAAAAATTCCGTTAACAATAGAAATGCGTATACAGTTAAATAAATATTTATTGTGTACATGTTTGAATAATATTAAGATATTGCAAAATATTGTTATAATTTCATTCGCAAAAATTGACATTCAGTCGGTTCAGTGGTATTGGTGTTGATAGGTTAGAACCTGATGGTGTGCCACTTTATAGTTTACATTTGTATATAGTTCACCTTTACGACCAATATTTAGAGAGTTTCGGTAGTTATTTTCCATATGTGTATATTTTTTGTGTGTTTCGACCTTCTTAATTACGATTAAAATCCCAAGATCTCGGTGGCAATGTGTTATCAACTCCTCGTTTCCCATAACAGAGCAATGTGTTCGTTGGTTGTATGACATCAGACTTGTAGAAGATAAACATTGTCCCGATCAATGCCATCCGACTTATACAAAGCACAATAAATAATTAATGAATTCTCGATAGTGCAATCTATTCACCGTATCTTTTAATCTATCCTCATTTCCAATAACCAAATTATCTGCTATGTGTGATAATGTCGAAGCAACAGTAACTCTTTGATGTTTATACTCTACATAACTATGTTGTCAGGGTATTATAGCTTTGTGCGGGCCTAAGAGTTTATAACGTTGTAACGAAATATTGGATCAAGACCCACTTTTTAGCATACCGATCATCATTTCTCAACTAGCAGAGTCGATCTAGAAATGTGTGTCCGTCCGTCTGCACATTGTAATTTGTAAACAAAGTACAGGCCACATTTATGGATCAATTTTTATAAGATTTGACATTTAGATTCGCTTCTGGCCATATACAATATTCCTGTTTTTTTTTCGCTCTAGGTTCCACAATTATGATCCGAACTTCATGAAATTTTAAACAAAGAATGAAAATGCATGGCTCTGACTAAGGAAAATACTTGGCCTTTTCCATGCTAGTCGCTAAATATTCAGGGGTGAAATGTACACAGATTCTTATGTGTTTATTTCTGAAAAATATAGACCGGGAAATTTGACAGTATATTCAGGAGTGATTGGCCTTTAAATTGATACCAATTATATTGATGTATTTACTCGGATGTGAGAGATGAGGGGTCATGGTAAGAAAGAGGAGCAGTTAACATATAATCGGGCAAGAGGGAACAAATATCGCGAGGTATAACCCATGCTAGGAACATAGATCCGCAAAAAATAGAATTTAGTGGTAATTGTGTAGGGTATCATATAGTCGGCCCCGTCCGAATTTTGAACTATCATTACTGATTTTTTCTTCCCTGTTGGATTAGCATAGCGTTTCAAATTCTTGGTAGAAAGCTTATTTCAATAAATGTTTTAACATAGCACCCAGGCAAAAGTCAGATGTTCGATACATTTAGGATTTTTGAGATTTTTTTACCGAGGCGCTGTAATTCTTCTTCTTCCCCGAAATCCCATGTGTGGCTTTGTCGGTCTTTAACCGAGCAATGATTTCCTAGCTTATGATGTAAGTAGGCCTGTCTTGTTAAAATTAAAATTGGCTTCAAGGACCTAATCATTGAGGAAGGCTTTAGATGAATAGGCTGTAATTTCGGGTTCTTAAAGAGTGAAAAACTCCATATTTTAACCTAGCCCCACAAAAATATTTTCGTCCGATTAAATGTAAATGTTGGAGCAAAGTCCTTATATATATTTTGATTGGCACGAAATTTGGCATTGCGCACTGAATTGAGTCTAGAACGATGTGTGTTACGTTTCAAGAAAATCTGTTCCGATTTAGATATAGGCTCCATATATATATATATATATTCATCCGATTTAAGGGAGCACCAAAACCCCTATATTTCTTACGATTTGCACGAAATTTGGCACAGCGCACGGTGGGTTAGAGTACCATGTTTTCTTGGATCAAATCAGGGAAGCTATGTTAGAATAATTTTTCTTTATTTTTCAGTTAATACCATTAAAATAAGTTAAAAAAAATTTTTCTAAGTATATTTTTTAGTATAATTTTATTAAGTAGTGCCAAATATCAGTGTAGGTATATAGTGCAAGGAGTACAATATGATAACTTAAACATTGAATTTTATACATCTTAAAGTTAATCATCCTCATCGTCATCATCCGCAGCCAGGGATGGTCCGTATGACGAATTTTCAGGTTTTCGACTGTCAAAAAGGTGTAAACGTCGAAAACGTCATATACCTGTATAAAATATAGTAAACGTCATTTATTTCAATATTATCACCATATACAGTAATTTTCAAGAACATATATTATTTTTACTGTATATCTGGCTATTCTTTACTAGAACTGATAAAAAATTCTGAATTTTTTTAAGAAAAAAATTTGATATTCGATATGAATTTGAGTAAAGCATACGTTATTTCCAAATCGATAAATGTAAATAGCTATTTTATAAAAAACATAATGGTTTTGAGTGGGTTTCCGACGTTTCTGACGTATGTATTATACGTCGGAAATGTATGTCATTTACGTCAATGTTTCTGACAGGCCATCTCTGTCCGCAGCATCACCAACTTCTGATAATTGCTGAATATGTAATAGGGCATTTGACACAATTTCGGGTCCGTGAATAAAAAACTTGTGCAAAGTGGTAGGCATATTATACCAAGGATACGTTTCAACAAAGAATCGTCCTGTATTGTGTGCATATATTTGAAATTTTTCATTATTATTCTCATGGCCACCGGATACAGCTATAACCGACACGTGCATTTTTATTAAATTGACATATATTTTTGTTATTTCGGCAGTTTTTTAGCGTTTTGGTGCGTTTTTTTGATTTCTTTAGCTAAAAATGTCATCTTGTCATTCATTGTTTGAGCGCTCGAATTCATCATAAGCTTCGACGATTATAAAAAACAACGTTCGAACTTGTACCTATAAAAAAATGCTAATAAAGAACCCTTTTACCCGACTACTTGAAACTGCACAACACAATCACTATTTGTCAAAACAATGAATATTATTAAAATAAACAAAAACAAAAAATATTATTGTAACAAAGAATATTATTAAAATAAACAAAAATAACAACAATAAAATAATTAGAAAAAATAACATGAAAAACAAGAAAACACAACACTCAACAACAGCACCAGCCACGAGATCAATGTGACTTTTAGCTAATTTGACTGCTGCAACACTTGTATTAAACAATGCATAGCTTCTAAAAGGCACAAAAGGGCAGCGTAAAATTTTGCAATATAACAAAGATTTATGTCCTCTTTAATATAAACCAAAAATTATGACACGAATGTGGACGAATAATAACTATTTATCCATTTAAAATATAAAAATATTAATTTTTTTGGCATTTTCAATATAAATAACAAAATCTTAATCACTTCCAAACACAATTTGATACTCAAATGTTAACGAAGTATTTGCAAAATAACCTAAAATTCATGGTTCCGTTGAAAAATGATTAACTTTTACAATACTTTTTAAAATAAATAAAATTTTCAACGGCAACGTTTTCACTTTTTTCAGCCTTTTTTGGCACAAAAATTTGTATGAAGTTTGACTTTGAAGTTTCGATTAATGCATGTCCGTCTGTCTGTCCATGTTAAATTGTAAACAGGTCGCATTTATAATCCGAATTGGATGAAATTTGGCAAAGTTCACTTCACGAATCCTATTGAAATTGGGAAAAATCGGTTCAGATTTAGATATAGCTCCAATATATATTTTCGTCCGATTTTAGGTAAATAGTGCACCAAAGCCCCTATATATCCTTCGATTTGCACGAAATTTTGCATAGCTTACTGAAGTAAGTCTAGAACGATGTGTGTAAAATTTCGTGAAAATCGGTTCAGATTTAGATATAGCTCCCATATATATTTTCATCCGATTTTAGGTAAATAGTGCACCAAAGACCTTATATATCCTTCGATTTGCACGACTGAATTAAGTCTAGAACGATGTGTGTTAAATTTCGAAATCGGTTCAGGTTTAGTTATAGCTCCATATATATCTTCGTCCGATTTTATATAAATGGTGCACCAAAGTCCTTATATATCCTTGGATTTGCACGAAATTTGTCATAGCTTACTAAATTGTGTCGAGAATGATATGTGGTAAGTTTTAGATTTCTATGTAGATCCCACATATTCATATATATTCCTCCGATTTTACATAAATGGCGCTCCAAATTGGGACTTGAATGACGTTATTGCGTTTTGTTGAAATTGGTGCAGATGCAGCCATAGCTTCCATATGTATTTCGCACGGGTGTCTGATTGAAATAAAATTTTTGTCAGCACCGAATAGCGTGTATAAATTTTGCTATTAAACGTTTCCATAACTTTTTCCCATGGTACGCAGACGACTCTAAATCTTCCCGAATGAAATTAAATTTATCATAGGTTGCAGAAAGACATGCGTATGTTCCTTCAAGGGAACATTGATATGCAAATGTAAGGATTCATATGAGCAATATACCCAAAGTGGTGAAGGGTATCATATAGTCGGCCCAGTCCGACTATACTACATTCCTTACAGGTTTAATAATGAAGTGATCTTGTATCTTTATTAGTTCTATAATGGATTTCGAAGCCCTAGCGTCCCTAGTTTCAAAATAATTAATTATTTATTTATTTCAGGCTCTATCACCAGAAGACTACCGACATGTTATGAAAATCGTGGAGAATGCAATTTTATCCACAGATCTTGCCGTTTACTTTAAGAAACGTAATGCCTTCTTGGAGGTGGTGGAAAGTGGTGAATTCGATTGGCAAAGTGAAGACAAAAAGGATTGTAAGTATCAACACAACCCTTTTCAATTTCAAGTTATTCTCACCAAAATCTGTTTACAGTATTATGCGGTATGATGATGACAGCTTGTGATGTCAGTGCTATTGCCAAGCCATGGGAGGTGCAGCATCGGGTGGCCAAGCTAGTGGCTGATGAATTTTTCGATCAAGGAGATTTGGAAAAACTGCAATTGAATACACAACCCGTGGCAATGATGGATAGGTGAGAAAATGTCTGCTCTTCATTCCTTCCGAAAATTATTTAAATATGTAAATATTACTTCTTCAGGGACCGCAAAGATGAGTTACCCAAAATGCAAGTCGGATTCATTGATGTCATCTGTTTGCCCCTCTACAAAGTGTTGTGTGATACATTCCCCTGGATAACGCCCTTGTATGAAGGTACCTTGGAAAATCGTCGTAATTGGCAGGATTTGGCTGAAAAAGTAGAAATGGGTTTGACATGGATTGATCATGATACCATCGATAAGCCAGTAGAGGAATTTGCAGGTATTACACAACAAATATTAATTTGAAATATTATTAATTAATTATTGAAATATTATTTCCAGCCTGCAATGACGAAGAAATCAAAGACATTGAATTCACTGTAACCACACTAAATTGTCATCAGCAGCATAGTGATGATACCTCAACACCCGAACATCAACGTGGCATTTCTCGTTTGAGTATCAAGAAAACCGGTGCCCTCGGCAAGGCAGTAAAATCAAAATTAACCAAAACTTTATACAACAGTATGGACGGTTCAAAACCAAAAACATCGCTGAAACTCTTAGAGACACATGCCAGTGAAGATTTAGAAGATAAAAGTCCTACCAGCCCATCACAACCCACAGGTCCTGCAGGTTCAACTGGTCAAATGTCGGCATCTTCATCGATATCATCATCCTGCACAACAAATTCCATCACCGACAAAAACAAGAAACGTTCCAAACTTTGTGCCCTTTTGTGACGTAAACCTTCCAATTAGAATCTAAAGTAAATCTCTCAGTGTGGGGATCACTGATTCTAATTGGAAGCTGTGATTAAATATTTTTGGAAAATTTAGAGCTTGGAAGACATATTTTTTTGTAACCCTACAACTACAAAATGGGGACAACTTTTTTTTGCAGAGCCACTATTTTTGTAGAAAATGGATTTTTTCCTAAATGAAATCTACACAAGAACCTATTAGTAAATATTACCAAGAAATATATACATACGTACATAGGTGTCCTATATATACATACCCAACCAAGAACTAATGTCAAAACAATTGTGATGTAAATCAAGACAGAAATAGTAAATTTAAAGCGATTTCTTTACTCAAGTAATAGACATAATGTGATGTAGGTTTGAAACTCTTCTTGAGGAAGTGTCAGATGAAATTCCAAATTAAAGTAAAATCTTTCGGATAAGGTTAGCTAAAAATACTAATTGATTTCAATAAGATCGCAAATTAGTAATTGGCTTCGAATCTCACCAATGTTCTTGCAAAATATCAATGCTACGTTTCGGAAAATTATTTGTAATCTACAAATTTTACTGGTTTAAGTTCAAAGTCCCCAGATTTCAAAAACATAAGCTATAGAGTCGAAGTCTATATGTGGGCCAATTTTGCTGTAGTCAGATTGGAAAACTAGCTCAACTCTAGAAAAAATATTCAAAGAAATGTAATAGTTACCGATTAGTCATGATGAAATCAAAAATTGACAACTTTTTTCGATAAATTGTCAATTTTCCAAAAAAATATATATATATATATATATATATATATATGCACTTATAGTCAGGTCCGTCCAAAAATAGATCCCACGTTTTGAACCAAACAAAGCGACTGTGATTTGGTGAAGGACACCCCACTACAAATGTTTTAAGGTTCATGGTTTTTCATCATTATACCTTACTATATTGTAAGGTCACAGTTATGGACTAGTCGTTACGAAACGCATGTAGGTTCCCTCCGGGCCAATGAAAACCCAATTGTTACTGATAATGGTCGCTTAATATTTAGGAGATAAAAACATTACTCCTACATTTATCAATTTTGCATGCGGTCAAATGGACCCTGACTTTTTTTTAATTTCATTTACTCCAGATAGACGTAAACCAAATAAGTTGGCCGGCCGTATATGCAAGGAGTGTGGTTGTCCTTCAAATTAATACAATGTATATTTAATTATGTAACCAGATGCTGGAGTTTTATCCCATATGGCGGAAATGTTGCGCTATTGGCTATTTAATTTACATGAAGTTCCGGTTATGGTCAAAGATGACACCTATAGTTTTTGCTGGTAATCGGATGATAATTAAGGGATGACGCAGAAAGTTAAAATTCAGTGACTGGTGTGCAGGGTATTATTTGTTCGGCCCCGTTCAACTATACTTCTCCGCTCACTTTTACTTTCTATGTTTTTCACTTTTTCATTTATGTTTGCTCTACCTAGATCCGAAGATGGAGCTATTGCGATCATTGGATATGATTGCATACATTGGCTGTGATACGAATGTTGTATCTGCACATTGTTATACCCTCAGCCTTATGGCTTATGAAGATATATCGACGCCTCCGAACCATAGTATGCTAAGTCTGAAAAGTGAGTTTTTCAGCAGAAGCTTTCAAAGTATCAGGCGAATGGAATGTTCGAATTGAACCAAACTTTGCACAACCTATTACTTGTACAAACTCACATCACAGTACTGGGCGTATGAAATTTTGAATGTGGGTCCCGTACTACCAAGGAAGACACATATTTTTATCTGAATTGTGAAACAGTCATCATAAAATTTTCAATGACTACTTTTATGACGATCGATCAACATTTAGCTGTTTAAATGAACATTAACCTTTTTGTGAAAATTAGAAAACGTGCATACTATAAGGCATATTTTCACGTGACATGGGAAAGTTGCAAGGGTTTGATACGAGGTGCGGATGACCTGTTCATTGAAATCATCGCGATAGTTGAAACATAAATCAATATACCTAATATTGTTTATCAATAAATATTTGTCCTCTCCAAAGTAATCCCCGCTCATATAATATACTTATGCCAGCGTTTCTTCCAATCCTCAAAACACTTCTGAATCTCGCTTTTTGGTACACCCAACAACTTCTGTTTCGGGGTTTCTTATATCTCATCAATCATAGCAAAATGCTTTCCTTTCATTGATGTCATTTTTTGACGCTTTGCGAAAAATGTGTCTTTCTTCAAGGTGGTATTCCTTATAGAACAAGAAGTGGCAAGAACAAGGGTGCACCCTTCACAGTTCACTTAACTTATTTATACTCTACATAAATATAATGGGAGAGTATTATAGACTGGGAGAGTATCTTGACTGGCATAGTTCATCTAGAGATGTGTGTCCGTCCATCTGTTCATTAAAATTGTAAACAAAGTAAAGGCCACAGTTATTGACTAATTCTCACGAGATTTAGTGTTTCTTGCCTAACACGTTTCAAATGAAACAAAAACTTTTTTCTGGTCGATCTAGAGGCCGTAGTAATGGGGAACGGGATCTGCTCAAATAACAAACACGGCTGTTTTTATGAAGATCGGACACTATTTAGAAATGGGCTCAGACTTTTGTGTAAAAAATTACAAAATTTGCAATCAATGGCTTTTCAATTTACTCCGGAAAGACATAGAGTGAATATACCGAATAAGTTAACAATATATCCCGTAGATGTGGTTGACTCTTAAATTGAAACCAATTATTGTAAACCATATTAGTAGGGATCTACGTGTTCTGATATTGTTTAATATTCCCATTACAATAGTAGAGGGCATAAATGTCGATTTTCAATTTTTGCATAAAGTTCCGGCAAGGTACAAGGACGACTTCTGTAGTTCATGCTGGTGATCGGACAAGAATGTCACGAGGAAGCATGGTACCTTTGACAATAATTTTTCATTATTTCGCGGGTCGAATAGACCAAGACTCTTGTGTGATAAATAACAAAATGTTCTTAATAAGGGCAAAAAAATGTTTTCAGTATATGAATTTGGAATGGTTGGCCAATAATATGATGTATTGATGCAAGAGGTGAATTTGAGATGCAGACAGTACTGGTGCATCCGGGAAACTTCTCGGTGGTTAATCGGTAATAATACCACTGCCATACAAGGAAATCTAAATATCACGAAATGTATCCGGATTCGGAATTTAGATCCACATTAGGTTAATGTTTAACGGTAACGTATCATAAGGTGTCGACCATTACAAGCAGTTTTTAATTTTAATCACATATTCCAACAAGAGAACAACAATAAGTGGCTTATTTTGATACTTATGCGCCACTTGCCAATTGTGAGTACAATTGTGTTTTGCACACTTGAATAACGAGTTCATTGATTCATCGACACTCGGGTCGTGTCGTTTTGCGCACTCTGTTAAATTTCTTTTCTTACTCTCTTGATCTCTGCACATCAAGTGTTATTTTTTGTTGTTATTCAGCCGCCTGCCTTATGCTCTTCGAGAGCGTGAGCACAACGATCAAAATGAAGAAGAAGTAACAACTTGTTTTGCTAACAAGTGGCTTGTATACTTGAGTGAGTTATACGCATGTTTTTGATTTTCGCAGGAAAAATTTTGGTTTGAGCACAATCATTTTACCGTTATTTTGAATTTTCTTTTGCCTTATTTTTTACGAGTTTCTTTTGGTAAAATAAATAAATTTCAACTATAAAAGTTTTACGTTTAAACATAAACTTATGTTTATTACAATATAGGAAACTCTTTCCCTTAAATTGTACAGAAGCATTTGCAATACTATAAACAGTACTCGTTTCCAAGGCAAAGAGGTGTACGATCTGAAACGATTCAACACAACAAGAACTGAGTATAATTTGCCACTTGAGAAATCTTGTACTATTCCTTTTACTCTCTCATACTCTAGCGGTGATCGTAAAATCAAACAATTGATGTTGTTAGGGTGTGAAAAAATACTCGAGTATAAAAAAATACTTGCACTCAAAAGGCTTGACACCCAAAACACTTGTGCTTATCTAAGTGGCTTACGTTTGTCTGTAGCTTGTTCAAGTTCTCTGATTCCAACCGAATTTGTCAATGGGTAGGTCTCTACGTTGGCATATGTATCACCCACAAAACGGTAGCGATCAGAACAAAGCATTTTCTTCATTTAAGAGGACCTCCCACCATTCTCGGGTCAAAAATTTTTTTGACTTAATTCGAATCTACACCAATTCAAGAATGTCCCTACAAAATTTCAAGTGAAAATCTCAAGAACTCTTGATTTAGCCGATTTTTCTATCAGCATCAAGTGACGACTGAAGGGCTTCTCAAACTTTAAACGCATTTTTCTCTAAACGAATGGCGGGCACGGTAACTCAAAAACTAATAACCCAATCGACTCCAAATTTTTACACGTTTCTCTGTGAGTGTATAGCTATCGTATGAACTAGGATAAAGCCAATCGGTGAAGAACTTTCTTATTTTTAACTTGGTTTTTGGCCAAAAATCGGCTAAAATATTTTTTCAAAGGTCCGCCATTTAGTTAATTTTAGAGCGAAGTCAATAATCCTAGTTCATACGAGAGCCAGACATGTACTCTTTCTAACACCGTTGGAATTTTCGGATTCCGATGTTCCAGTGAGGATTTATCATGTCGCCATCAAAAATAAGGACTTTTCATTAATTACAAAAAAACAATAACAACAATTTTTTGTAAATTATGTTTCTTCTCTTTTACATCTTCAAATATATATATGCAAAGTTACATACCGTAATAAGCATTGGTATTGATTTACCAGCCCTTTGAAAATCTTGAAAAATTAAAGTCGGGAATGGGGGAGGGGGTTTCCCTTAAGTCTCATATTCCAAACGAATTGTTCAGAACATTTTCCTATCGATTTCGGTACTTCTTCACATCTCTGTGCAAAGAAAGCGTACTTTGGATATTTTCTAAACAAATAATACTTTTCAAAATACATTGAAAATGTATATTTGAATCATAAAAAATAGCATGGAAAAATTTTTAAA